AATTTCCTATTTATTGGACGAAAGTGTTAGGAGTACTGTAGGTTCACAGAGTTACCAAAGGTGCACAGCACCAGATTAATTCTTGTCTGTATGGGTTAGTTAGGGGAATGCTAAAATAGTTAGCTTTGGTATTTATGTATAAATACTTCATGTACAGAGATATGAAAATATACTGAAAATCATTTTCAGTATATTTTCATATCTCTGTACATGAAGTATTTATACATAAATACCAAAGCTAACTATTTTAGCATTCCCCTAACTAACCCATACAGACAAGAATTAATCTGGTGCTGTGCACCTTTGGTAACTCTGTGAACCTACAGTACTCCTAACAGAAAGTATTTTTTTTATAGGACATCCAAGCCAACAACTTAAAAACAAGTAGAAAAAAAATTAGTGGGGTCCCATTTACAAAACGGTCTTCTGCCCCTAAGAATATTTCCAAAAACTCCTACGTGAAATTTCAAAAGCTGACGGTGTGACGAAGATTAAAAGAAATAGATTTTATGATAGTTTTTGCACAAAAATTACAAAATCAATTAAAATCCCATATTTTTATGAATATTTTGAATTTTGCGTGCACGTTAAGGAAAACGTTACAAACCATTTGTAATCGGTTTTTTTTTACCATTTATTGAGCATCAAAATTATTTTTATAAAATATTTAAGCCGAAAATTTATAAATAAATAGAAAAATTGGCCCAAAACATTACCAAAACGAAGTTCTACACACAAGAATATGTCCAGAATGTCATACGTGGAATCTCAAAATCTCACAGTGCAACAAAGATGAAAAGAAATAAGCTTTATAATGGTTTTTTTTAACAAATTTACAAAACTGATTAAAAATTGTGAGTATTAAGGAAAGCTTTAAGGCAAAACTGATTAGCCCACAATGTTTGAGAAAGCAATAGAATTTTGTATTCTGGCTAAATAAATTGTTTGGGCATGAAGGAAAGTGTTATAAACCATTTGAAAGTAGTTTTACTTTTTATTGAGCGTTGAAGTATTTTTTTTATAGAATATATAAGTTGAAAACTTAAAAATAAGTAAAAAAAACTAGTGGGGCTTAAAATATTTACAAAATGGTGTTCCGCCTATAAGAATATATCTGAAAATTTCTTATATGAGATTTTCAAAACCTTAGAGCAATTCCACTCCTAAGGACTTTGCGCCAGCACCCAGCGCATTTATCCACTTAAATGAACAGTAACATACTCCAATGAACAGTAATAGGCCAAGGCATCTCCATCCCTAAAAAAATGCGCTGGCACCTAGTGAAAAAATGCGCTGGCACAAACGATCTTCATCCCTACAAAATGCGCTGGCACCCAGCCCATTTAAAATATTTTTAAATTTTGTCAAAAGAATAAAAAAATAAAATAGTTTTAATTTCGGATATGATTTTTAACCAATCTCGTCACACCACATGTCATTATCTGAACGTACAATTTTGTGAATAGATTTCCGCTAAGATTTTCAACCAATCCCGACACGACACGTGTCACTTCCGTTTTACAATAATTTAGCCAAGATTTCGATAAGATTTTCAACCAATCACGTCATGCCACGTGTCATTATCTGAACGTACTATTTTGTGGATATATTTCCGATAATATTTTCGACCAATCCCGACACGCCACGTGTCACTTCCGGTTTACAATAATTTAGCCAAGATTTCGATAAGATTTTCAACCAATCACGTAGTGCCACGTGGCATTGTCCAGAACCTCATCCTTTCTTTTTTTGTCCATATAAACCCTACATCCCTACATCCACACCAAGCTCAATCCTTCTTTTTAGCTCAGAATCCTTGTTCATCGCCATTTTCTCCATGTACATCGCAAAACGCTTTCGTAATTTTACTCCACATTTCTCGCTTATCCATCTCATTACCCGTAATCGGGTCATGAGTAGTGTGAACCCAACATTCACACAACGTAACATCTTCAATAAGCTTCCACGAAGACATTTTTTTCTCTTAAAGTGTAGAAAATATTGAAATGTAGATAGTATAGAAAGTGTAGAAAATATTGAAATGTGGTGTAAAGGTAGAAGATGAGGGTTAGGTATTTATAGGAAAAAAATTAACATTTTTCAAAATTTTCTGTAATTTTTTTAAAATTTTATGTATTTTTTAATAATTTTTCTGTATTTTTTAATAATTTTTAATGAATTTTAATAGTTAATTAATCTGGACCGTTGGATTTGAAAAATATTCAAATCCAAGAGCTAGGGACTTGCCACGTGGCCAACGGTCATATTTATGACCGTTGGGCTGTTTTTTTTATTTATTTATTTACTTTTTGTGAAAAAAAACGTGGACTGTTGATCTATGATCGGACGGTCCATTTTAAAAGTCAAATTTAAATTTTTTTTACAGTTGGAAATCCAACGGTCTACAAAAAATAGCCGTTGGAAATCCAACGGTCTACAAAAAATAGCCGTTGGAAATCCAACGGCACTGAGGAGGGCCACGTAGCCCTATTCTGGGTGAACACAAGTGGGCTGACAAGCGGGCCCCCCTGCAACCCGGTCTGCTACTCGCGCACAAGCGCGCTTGTGCTGCACGCGCCTGCTAAACAGGCCGGCCTCTAGGTCTGTCCGAAATGGGCTGGCCTGTTGCCCAGCTTGGGCTGTGTGCCAGGCTCTTTTGCGGGCTGGAGCAAATTGACAAGGGGCTGGGCAGTTTTTTAGACTAGGTGCTGGGCAATATCCACTGGGGTGGAATTGCTCTTACAATATGGTGAAGCTGAAAAGAAATTGTTTTTATAATTTTTATGGAAATTTGCATAATTAATTAAAAATTATGAGTGTTGACCCACTCTTTTTGTGTTTTCGCAGAATATTTTGCATGAGTATTAAAAAACAAATGTTATAAAGTATACTAAAACAATTTTACTATTTATTGAGCATAAAAAATATTTTATGAAAATATTTAGGCGAGAAACTTAAAAATAAGTAGATATTTTTTATTTTTTATTTCGACGAAATATGGAAATACCAGAAAGCCTCTCCTAGTTCCCTATCGCGGAGGGCCTGAGCGTGGCGCTTTAAACAAAAGGGCTGCCGTCTGTGTGCATCTGAGCGACCACTGCCAGCATTTCGGGGGGCTTCCGAAAAATTCAATGACTCAGTAAGTTTGACATGCAATTATTCAGGCTTCCTTATTAATTTTCCGTCAATTCAATAGAATTGGGTTTTGCAATTTCCTTTTAGTTTCTGGGCGCGATTGTGATATTACTCTTGGGAATCTTCTTTTTTCTTAGTTAGAATCATGGAATAATATGGAAATTGATTTCTTTTAAATTGTGTAATGTGTTGTTTCAGCTTCATCCTCCAATTCCTCCCGATGTTCCATAATCCATGTGCTTTAAAAATAAATCCGCTTAGATATTATTAGATAAATACATGAATTCGGATTTGGGAAATCCACAGGCAGTGATAGTGCTCATAGAATAGAATAAAGAAATGGGGTGATTTGGCACTAGAAGACTAGCTGCAGCCTGCAGGAATGGATCCTTAGAGTTTCATCGATTATAATTTCTTCTCAACTTGATGTAAATATGTATTTATTGCAGTGAATCTGATGGTGCATCGGTAGGAACTTCTCTTGTAGATATGAGTCATCTTTTTGGACAGGATGATGATGATGATGATGATGATCAAAGGACTCCAAGTTCTTGTAAAGATGGATCAAGTCTAGTCCAACCACATGAGCCGTATGTGGGTCAGGAATTCGACTCACAAGAAAGTGCACTGGCATTTTATAATGCCTATGCCACTCGTATGGGTTTTGTTACTCGTATGAACGATATGTATCGATCCAAACACGATGGAACCGTCATTGGGCGGACATTGGTATGCAACAAAGAGGGTTTCCGAAAGCCTGACAGGCGTGACAAGAAGACCCTAAAGCCTCGGGCTCAAACTAGGGTAGGTTGTAGGGCAATGCTGTCCATCAAGAAACTCAGTGTTGGGAAATGGGTTGTTACATGGTTCGTTAGGGAGCACACTCATGCATTGACTCCCAACAAAGCTCTAAAAGGACTGATCAATGATCAAGTACCGGTAAGATCTTTTACAGTTGTTATTGACTTTAATTTGTTTAAAGCAATTTTTTGTTTTGCGTCATGGATATTAACTCATATTAGACTTGAAACAATCTTATATCGAGGTTCTGCAACTTAATTTGGTCAATTAAATGGGATTTTTGGGAGTTACAGAGCTCATAATGTATCTGCTGCGCATGTTGCTCAATGACATATTTTTGAGGACTTCATATGAGAGTTACATTATTGAACAGGCCTACAAGTTGACATTGCAGTTGCATCGCATTAGTATGACCTGAAATTCATTTACCTCAGGCTTCTTTTCTTTTTTCACCCTGTCGTGTGTTTGTAGGACGATAAGACAAAGATTGCAGAGTTAACTAACGAGCTCTTCCTCGAGAGAAAGCGGTCTGCTGCACTTAGAGAAATAGTTGATCTTCTATTTAATCACATTGAGGAACATACGCAAGACCTGTCGAAGAAAGTTCAGCATGTTGTCGAAAATGTCAAGGAGCTTGAATCGGAAGGGAAAAACCGTCGTAGCCTCGGATAGGCCTGGCATTCTAATGTACATTGAATATTTTCACATTAGTTTGATACTTTTTATTTTATTTTGCGGAACAAGTATTACTTCGAAATTTTTAAGTATGAGTTAGCTGTGTTTTGTTTGAAACAGCCAACCCTATATACAAATGCTCGTATGGTTGTCACATGGCACAAGTAACGAGTGCAGAATGTAGAATGTAGCATGCTAGAGTTGAGAGGTTAAGCCATTATTCTGTGCACTATGGTGTATGAGGGTGAGGTTGTACCATCCCTTCCGATCCCATTCCCGCCAACACCATCGTCCTCGCCGCCAGCCCCAGCTCCAAAGATACCGAAACTGGCGGTCACTAGGGGGAAATCTTCTAATGATCCCATCCCCCGGAGGCATAATTCAAGAAATTTGTTTATGCAGGATTCATTTAGTAAGACAGTAGCTATGTACATTAAACTGAGCGCTGCATGTACAGGGCAAACTTTCATTCGCAAAAATTTAGTTGAGATTGGTCATCTTACAATAAAGGTGGGTCTGGACTGGACATTCTACCGACGGATAAAGGGCGTTAAAAACACAAGTTCAGTAGTAAATCTCCATCTTCCAAACTTGAGGTGGGTACAACTGTAGAAGCACCTTTAACTACCCAATTTAAAAGCATCCACAAAGAGGCCTAGGCAAACACCTGCTTTCCAGTAATTTACCATCATGACAAACGACTTGAGCCTCCCACTCGATTGAGAGGGGGGCTTTCTATACATTAGCATGCCAATACCTTCAATGGCAGCAACCACTATACCCGCAACCAAAACATCCCAATCCCCGGTCTGCCCCAGGATTGTAGCCAACGCATTTGCCGTGTAGAAACCCAAAAGAAGAAGAAATATTTTCATGGGAAAATTTTTCCTGGCTAAATTCAGCTTCTCCAGTAGCTGTCTCCCACCTGCAGTCACTATCCGACCCAACCGGGTGGCATTGAGATTAGAGTTGTTGCCATTGATGCCCTCTTGCCCACCCTCATCGGGAATCCCACCTGTGTCCAAGGCAAAGGCTATTCTCCACTGTCGTCTTGTTGACTGAAAACTGCGTCAGCATACCAAAAATAAGCATGTTAAGAAGGGCATTAACATATTTTTTATGAAACAAGGCATCAGTATACAGCAAGCTTTTGGACCAGGAAACTTATAACTCCTAAATACAGTTCGCACAACTTTTATTTGATGTGGATATATAATGTTGACTGCCGACAAAAAGTTCCAAAATGACTGAAATCATTCTCTGTAAATCCCTCTCCCATTCCTTTAAGCCCCTAGTTCTTAGTGAAGGCAGGATCTTGGAATAAGTTCCTAATCTGCAGCAAATTTGGGCATAATTCCACATCATAATTTTCTACGACTCCGAAATAGGTAGGGTGGGGATACAGCAGATCAAAAAGAGGAAATCCAAGAAAGAATGCTAGAACAACAGAAGCAGTCTATGCAACAAGGATGCATACAACTCACATTATTTATAAAGTGCTGCTAATTATTAAGGTATTCCTAGGAATAAGAGAAATCTTTAGTCATCCGTTCATATAAAGATATAATGCAGTTGACCTTATTCTGTAAACAACAAGAAAGCAGAAAGAAAATGCAAAAGTTCAGTCAGATATAGCATAGAACAATACAAATTTTGAATGACCCAAAAATATGTATACCTCCTTTGGGGGAATGGCAGAGACTTTATGCGAATCTTTGAAGTTTGGACCATGAAAAAAGTTGGTTCGCTGCAACAGTTGTGGATCATACAAGTTGCAAGAGCTACATGTGATCTTTCAGGAAATTGATTCTCCAGTGGTGGTGCGGTTCCTATTCGAGAGGCCAAGAACTAGAATAGAAGGATGGAAGGAAGAGAAAATGAAATTGTGAGTACACAACACAAGCCTTCAATTTGGACAGTGATGATGGTGACTCAAGGTTAAGGATTGTTACAGGGGCTCACGTGAGTTTGATTCTTGTATGGTTATGAACATAAATCCATTTTGGAGAATGAGGTGGAGCCTAATTGATTCCATGGCAAGGTTGATACTCATACTAGTGTGAGTGAGTCTTGGTATATTTGATAGAGTTGTTGGTATCAATCATCCATAACCAAATGAAATGAAGAAAAGAAAGCAAATTGCACATGAATTTATTTAGGAAGCAGAGAAAATGAACAAAATACATAATGATCTGACCTCCCAGAAACCCCTTCTTTTGCGAGAATACAATTAACAATCACAAACAAGGCAGACAGATGATGATAAGAAAGAAGCCCAAAGAAAAAAAAAAGGAAAATACTTGGAGCCAATTACTACTAGGGACAGGAGTCAGGACCCTTGGGCATGAACAGAAGAATCAACAAGCCGTTGACCCAGCCATAAGGAAACATTTATAATAAAAATTATAAAATTACAAGAGATAAAGATAAAGAAGATTACATTACTCGCCATTGAACTTTGAAGAGAACAAGTGCCAGTAGTCGGAAGACAGCGGCGGTGGCAAGGCTTCGTCTCAGCAGCGGCAATTATCAAACCGGAGCATGAATTCAGCAGCAGCAGCAGCGTAACTCTGGGTTTTACTTTTTGGAACAATCCATTCACTTTTTAACATTTTGTTTAGGGAAATATACATCCCTGAAAAGAAAGACGAATGTCATTTACTAAAATGCCCTCCACTCTATGACTCGGTCATTGGTGTGTGTCTTATCTTGTGTTTCTGTTTCTGAATCTCAGCTGTGCAGAGTGAAGAAGACCCAGCAAATGAGGGCAATTGGGCGAATTGGGGTGAGCGGAACTGGAATATTCAAAAGATTATTTATTTATTTTTGAGGAACAAGATGGGTGGTGGGTCGAGTGGCATTCTGATGATGGTGTTTAGGGTAATAATGCTCTGCCACTGCCTCCCTCTATATCTCAATCTCAATCTCAATCTGTATGCGGTAGCGGTAGCAGTAACAACGACTGAAGAATCCGAAGAAGAATTCCAACAACAACTGAGGAGGGCGGTAGATGTGAAGGGAGGCCCCGACTCAGTTGTGTGGGTGGTTCAGCTCTCTGATCTCCATTTCAGCGTCCACCATCCCGACAGAGCTCTCGACTTCAAGAATTTTGTGGGTCCCGCCCTCTCCTTCATCAACCCTTCTCTCGTCTTCATCACCGGTGACCTCACAGGTCTGTTTCCATATGTCATCACATGGATGATGGGTGACGGATACTAATAATCTCACAGTCACAGGCATAGTATTGATTAGTGCATACTTATGTTTGGATTTTCATATGTAATTATTAATCAGATGGAAAAAGCAAGGATTTGTTGACAATGAAGCAAAATGAGGACGAGTGGCTGGAATACCACAACGTCATGGAGGACGTCATCAAAAGGAGTCGACTTGACAAGACCCTCTTCTTTGATCTCAGAGGAAATCACGACAACTTTGGCGTGCCACAGCTCGGCGGCTCCTTTGATTTCTTTTCAAAGTACAGCATCAGTGGCCAGTTGGGCAGAAGACGGAATGTCAACAGTGTCACTCTTCAGGTATTATTCCTCTCACTTTCAGACTTTCAGTTTCAGAGAGAGATGCTTCATATCTATATGTCATCGTGTATTCAATAACTCAACTCAACTTGTGTGCTTAGTTTACCCAACATTGAGTTCAACTTTAATTGTACGTTCCCAATTCCCATGCTTTGATCACAGATGCAACCGTTCCCTTAAGTGTTTGTTAATTCAGAAGCTTTTCGTCATTTCCCCAACTTTACGCCTTTTATTTCCATCCAGACTGGTGATCGGAAGCATCTCTTTGTTGGAGTTGATACCACAATGTCTGTTGGTTTACGAGGTCCAACTAATCTCTTTGGGCATCCAACTGATCAACTATTAGCAGAATTGGATACACACCTCTCTCAGTGGGACTCTAGATCACAAGAACCATTAAGCAAGATTTCCTTTGGGCATTTTCCTCTTTCATTCTCAGTGACCTCAAACTCCGGGAAGAGACTAAAAGATATATTCCTCAATCATTCCATATCAGCTTATATATGTGGGCATCTGCATTCTAGCTTTGGCAGAAACTTGAAGAGGCGCCATCAGTTGAGTCGTCACTTTTTATCCTTGCAAAAGTTTTTCCAGCTTAATGTACACCAGCCCTATTTTCATAGTGCTGTTAACTGTTCAACTGAAGCCCCAGCCGCCAAAGAGTTCTGGGAGTGGGAGATGGGTGACTGGAGGAGGAGCAGAGCCATGAGAATTTTGGCCATTGATAGAGGCCATGTTTCGTATGTTGACATTGACTTCAAGTCAGGCACCAAAAAGACTATCATATTGCCAACTTTTCCCCTGGACTCACGGTTCATGTCAACATCTTCATCCCATCACGAGTATGAATGTCATGATATGGTCCCTTTATCTTATGGGACAGTTAGAGCCCTGGTGTTTTCTGTTTCTCCAATTGTATCAGTTACAACTAAGATCTATGACTCAAGACCTGGATTTCTCAATCTGGTATTTGAGGCACCCATGCAAATGATTGGGGATAACACCTCCAGGGGAGATCTTTATGTTGCTCCATGGAATCATAGAGCCTTTGAGGATCCAGTCCCTAGCAGATATTGGTTGCAAATAGAAGCAACAGACTTCATGGGCAGATCAATTTTATCTGATTTGAGGCCATTTTCTGTTAATGGCCTTACTACTATGACTTCATGGACCTGGAAGGAATTTATGGTCATGGGTTGTCAATGGGATGCCTTGTATTACCCAATGCTCTGGTGTGCTGTATATTTCGTACTCTCCATCCTCCTTATTCCAAAAGCTATCCTCACTTTCTCAGTTAGGCATTTCACTTACAAGAATAAGGGCTTCGTGAATGCTGTAGGATTGGTTTTTCAGGAGCTCTGCAGGCTTCCCGTAGCATGGTTTGGTTTTTTAGGATACTTGTTCTACCTTATATTATTCCCCTGGGTTACTGGGCAAGTTTTCACTGACGGCAAGGATAAAGGATACATGACCTATATGGGGTGGGTGGTCAAATCTTTTAATCAGAAGGGAAAACATGAGTATGTTGGATCTCCAGATGTAATGGTAGTGGTTCTTCCACATCTCGTCTTTGTGGTTTTTCCTGCTCTTTTCCTGACTGCAGCTTTGGCTACTGAAAAACAGATCTCCAGAGAACATTTTCTCTCCGTTACAGGGAAGAAAGAAGATGACTATGGTCCAGAGGAAAAGAGATCTTTATGGTACGATTACTCAGGTAATAGGAGATCAAATTCTGGTGTTGGAAACCGGTGGATTCGAAATGTACTTTTGGTTCTTTGCTTTGCAGTTTGTTGGAAGCACTTTATGGTAAGGTTTCTTTCACTGCCCCTCATTTCTGCTTAAAATATATGTCGTAAATATGTGAATACTTTTCCAGAATTCTTAAGATAATGGAGGCAAGAGAAGTGCTTGGAACCTTGCAACCACCATTCTGAAACGTTGCAAGGTCTCCAAACTGAATTCTCTTTCTTCTATCGTCCTGGGAACCATATTGAAGTAATGAGTATGAGGGCATAAATCAAGATGCATCTTTTGTTTTCTTTGTAATCAGTTTGCATATTGTACTTATGTATGTTGTACTTTGGTTTCTATGTTTCTTTTGTCTCTGGATTGCAGAATTGCAGGACTCTCATCAAAGCATATGAGATGAATCCCATTCTCCATTTTCCTGGATATAGCCTAACAATTCCACTACTGTTGGCTTATACGGCCTACAAAACCAGGAGTGTATAATTACCACGCGTGCATTGCAGGAAGCAAAATTCAACTCGCATTTCTTCATGTTGTATCAGCATTCCTTGTTGCTAGCCGGTAACCAGATTAGGGGGGATTCATTCATGCAAACTTGGGTTTGGGTCAGGTGACGAAATAAGACGACTGGAAAATTGGTGCTTTGAGTCTTAGATGTCCATCATGGCTGGTGCATTTGTACGTATGGGGTTGGAGATGACTTGTGTTGGGAAAGCAGGCAGCCCTAGGTCCCTACCTAGCTAACCTAGGCCACGCTAGGGATATATTGTACTTTTGTAACTTTGTTGCTTCTAAGGAGGTGGGATTTGCAATTCATCTCTCTTTTGCATCTTATGATACGTGAACTTGCTGAGAAATTGATCTTGTCAAATACCGTTTGATACAAAATTCTCTGTTAATCTTAATTCAGTCACAACAAAGCCGATATTTTAGAGCATCATAAGAACATGCGCCGGATGTAACTTCAGTCAGATTGGAAATCCAAATCGCCGTATATTTGGATTTTACTTGCACAATGATACAAGAAAACAAAGGAAATTGAAGAATAGTTCAGAGGGAAGTTGGAGCGAAAGGAAAACTCAAAGGGGATTTCGTTCGATAACATTCAAGATGAGAAGAAAAAAAAAGGAAGATAAATAGTACGTAACTTATTTAATTTGCGCAGGTGCAGCAGGGGACTAGTTCACTCTTACAAGTTACAACCACTACCCCCGACTTTTTTTAAAGATTCAAACTTCGCTACAATTTTATCAGCAACTGATTAATGACATGAAAATCACAGATCCAGGGCATTTGCATTTGCATGAATCAAGACAGCAACGTAAATGCTAGGCGAACAACAGAACTATATACAGCTCATGTTCCTATAAACAAGCAAGACACTCTCTTCCTCCCACCCTTGTTATTTTGTGCATCCTCCTCGCACTTGCAATCCCAACCCGCCAGGCCAATTCTCCGCTGCAATCTGCCAGCCAAAGAGGCAAAACCAAGGCATCCACAACCGATTAGGCCAATTTGCATAGGAAACACAAGTTACCGGCGCTGTTGACACATCTGGCACACACTGGCCGACCTGACATTTGCGAAGGTGCAATGTTCACAGGACCAGTGGCCTAAATCGTCAATGTTTCTACTCGAACTACTAGACCTGGATGTTGTAGCCTTGACCCTCCCACCTCTTCCCTTACTTGAACCTCCCAAACACTTTGAGCTTACTGTCCTGCTGCAGGCACCATGGGAATCCACGTCTGATAGACCATTCTCCAGAGCTCGAACTAAATTTTCAAAGTAGTTTCGAGTCACGCTGTTTTCATTGAAATTGAACCGTAAATCAATAAACTGAAAAGCTATATCCTTGTAACCCGAGTCAACTTATCCAATCAGAAAACTATAGTGTAATATCTTTAGTCGAACATAACCTGGTCAATCCAGCAAGTTTTGTGCGGAACTCATTGAAATCTTTTGATGGGTCCTCATCATTAAGGTAGACTTGTAGCTCCTTTTCTGCACATTGATGAAGCCGTTCCAACCCAGACTCAGCTTCACCTGCAGAAACAGAAATTAATTAGGAC